GATGAATTTCCCTCTTAAAACTGCTTTCATTGTGTCCCATAGATTCCGATATGTTGTGTCTGTATCTTCATTTATCTCTAAGAATTTTTTGATTTCCTCCTTTATGTCTTCTGTAACCCATTGATCATTCAATAACATATTGTTCATTTTCCATGTGATGTAGGATTTTTCAGGAAGGGATTATTTTTTGAGACAGGGTCTCACTAAGTGGTTTAGCCTTGCTAAGTTGCTGAGGTTGGCCTTGAACTTCTCCTACCTCAGCCTCCCTTGCCTCTAGGATTATAGGCATGCTTTACATTCAGTGGGATTTTTTTTATTTTTAAAACTGTATTGACCAAAACGAAAAAAAGAAAGAAATCATGTGAATAATCATTTATACAGGAATGGTTGAGTGGTTGAGGAAATTGTAATCTAATCATTTCATGGAATATTATGGAATTATTAAAAAGAATTAGTTTCATCTACTTTGGCTGATTTTCAGTTATTTTGTGATATATTAAGTGGAAAAGCATGATGTATCAAAAAGTATATAATATTACCCCAATGTTATAAAATATGACCAATATCTCCCATGCATATGTGAATGTATTTGTCAATATTTGAATAGAAAAACGTATAAAGAGATATGTACCATGTTGTTAAAACTGGATTGGAAGAGGAAGAAGATGGGGGAAACACCATAGAGATATTTTAAAAGTTAATACTCTAGTTTAAAACAGATTTAGGACAAGACAGGAAACACAAAAGAAGTGATATAAACGGCCAATAAATAATAGAAGTATTTTTACCTTGCAAACAAAGTATATAGCATGAATGGGAAGAAACATGATTTACTGACCCATGTTTTGCAGGTATGCATTCAACTTCACAGACTTTCAGGAAGAGAATTTTAACAAAAATTTCAGAGGACAAAAATGTCTATACCAGTGCTGTTAATAATGAAAGCAACTGGAAAAAATCTCATAAATTAAAATTAAATAATATAGTATAATTGGTAAATATTAAGTATTATGATTATCTAGAAGAATGTAGAGTGACATGGAAGAGTGTCCACATTATATCATGAAGGTGTAAATTCAGTTTCCAGAAAAGATTAAATAGTTTTTTCTCATTTTTTTGCCATAGAATATGTAATTTCCACATGAATGAACACAGAAAAAGCAGAAAGTCTACTCAACACCACCAGATTACCCATTGTTTTCAAAGTACACGTTGAACATTCATCAAAATATATGATCTTTTAGGTTATAAAAACAAGTTTACTAAAAAGAACTGAAGTCATACAAGTTGATATACAGTTCTCTGGCCATAATGGAATTAAAGTAAAAAAAAAATTTAAAAAAGAAAGATAATAAGAAAAGTTCTAAACACTTGAAAATTAAACCACACATTTCTGAATAATTCATAGATCAAAGAGGAAGTCTCAAAGGTAGAAAATATTTTGAACTGAATGAAAATGTATACAACAGCAAAATATATGGAATGGAATTCAAAAGAGGGAACTGAAAGAGAAGAAGGAATGCACCCTAGACACAGGGTTTTCAAAGGCTAAGAGAAACAAATAACAGAATATAACCTGAATTTATAAAGATTCTCCCTTATAGGACATAAAAACAGTATACTACAGGGACACAGCCACATCAGTGTTTATAGAAGCACAATTCACAATAGCTAAACTGTGGAACCAACCTAGATGCCCTTCAGCTGATGAATGAAAATGTGGTATATATACACAATGGAGTACTATTCAGCATTAAAAAAGGGAATAAAATCATGGCATTTACAGGTAAATGGATTGCATTGGAGAATATAATGCTAAGTGAAGTTAGCCAATCCCCAAAAAAAACAAATGCCAAATGTTTTCTCTGATTTAAAGATGCTGATTCATAATGTGATTAGGGGGGTAGGGGGAATGGAGAGATTAGATGAACTCTAGAGAGGGCAAAAGGAGGGAGGGGGAGGGAAGGGGCATGAGGGTAGGAACAAAGTGAAATGAGATGGACCTCATTATCCTAAGTTCATGTATGAAGACACAAGTGGTGTGACTTTACTTTGTGTATAACCAGAGATATGAAAAATTGTAATGCATTCTGCTGTCATAATAACAAATTAAAATTTGACAAAAGAAAACATTAAGAGTAAAAAAATATAAATCACTAATACCTAATAAAAATATGTGACTTTGCAAATAAATGATAATGCAGTTAGAAAAGTGTATTTCACTTCCCTAAATGGTTAAATAAACTGTGAGAATAAAATTTTATCCTAAAAAAAAAAACAAGATTCTGCCTTCTAAATTGTTTTGTATGATTGTCAGATCACTACCCTGACTTGAGTGATTGAGTATCTTTTTATTCCAATGTCACTTTAAGGTGCAACCAATTGGAATAATTTGCAGATAGTATAATGAACCAATAGTTTGGAGGATTTTTGTTTATTTGTTTGTTTTATATTGGTTTGTTTTGGTTTGTTTTTGCTTTGCATTGCTTTACTCAGATAAAGAAAACTAAAATGTATACAAACTAACAAAACAAGTTTACAGAATGTTTTTGTGGATAACCTAAACTATATTTAATATATAAATATCAGTAACACTGAACTAGCATCTTTTTTTTCTTCTCTTAGGGACCCAGAGGTGAAAAGGGCTTTAGAGGTGAAACTGTAAGTTTAACTTAAATTTGTCATTATTTATATACCCCTTGTCATGAAGCTGTCAGCTCCATGAAAGCAAGGACCTTGTTAGGGTTGTTCATTACTATATCTCTGATAGTTGTGGAATAAAAATAAAATTGTAGTTGTCAAGAAGTGGAATTAACCTATGTGGATATTGCATTTAAATCTGATAAACTCTAAATGTGTTGAAGAACCTGTCAATCACATTCTCTCTAGGTTAACTGTGTGAAATGGAGTGATTATTTGCTTTGTTAGGCATCAAAAGAGACAGGTCATCTTCAGATCTTAGCCATGCTAGCCACAGTAGTGCTGCAAAGTTGCTTTAGGTACATACCTACTATATCCAGACAGCACTGACCAGGGCTGCATAGCAGAAGCAAATCATTAGTTGTATATTTCAGCCAATTAGAAACCATGGTATGAGGTTGGGAAAAAGGTACTTTCAGGACCTAAATGGCTTATATTGCACTATGTCCCTATTTTCCAATTTAAGAAGATACTTTCCCCAGAAAGATCATGTTGAGCTTTTTAAATAAAAAATTTATTGTGTATACTTAGAATGTATAACCTGATGTCATGCAATAGATATAGATACTTTGAAGATTATCATAGTGAAGCATAATTGCTCTTTGTTGTTGTTGGGGTGTGTCATAATGGGCAAAAGGGGGAGAAATAAAGGATGTCCATACACTTCTTCCCTTTTTAATGCTTTATTCACTCAAATCACTCAATACAATTTCACTCTATAGGTTCTTAATCAAGAAAACAAGAAATCAAGAAACAATCCTTAATGCTAGTCACTGAATTGACAATTCACAGCAAACAATTCTAGACTAATTAAATCACAGCAAACCATTTTAGATTAATTAATTCTAAGCACTGCAAAAACACTTAATCATGACAAGCTAATGACAGACATTCCCTCTGCATGCTAAGTTCAAGTGTCAGATCAAAAGTCTCAAGCCTTAGGCTTTAAGTCCATCAGATGCACATTCACTCAGACCCTGGTGATCAGGTTTGGAACCAAGGCAGGCTTCCCCTGGGATGGAGCTGACAGCTGGTTGAGGAGAGGAGGGAGGGTCATAGGGAGAAGTTGCAGCTCTCACCAAGATCAAGGTGTGGCTGTAGAGTTTGAGAGCGGTGAGGAAAATGCAGAGGATCAGCAAACAATGAAAAGTGTTGGGATGTCAATCCAGGTCCTCATCAGGCTCTCAGCATAAGGGCATCAGTATCTGCTGGTTGAATGTCTGTTCATTTGCTCTATTATTTATACTAAATTTGAGGGCTTTTGACCCCCCCTTTCAATCCTTATCAGCTACCACCAGATTTCTCACTGAGTGACATCATTTACCCTGGGGTTAAAACTTATGGTCTGGTGGTCTCCACCCTGATCTTTTCATCTTTCCCTCTTATCCAGAGGACAGCCTGCCAGAGGCTTCACTCTGAGTTTATCAGGGTAGGAAAAAAATGACTCTTTTGTGCCTGAGGGCGTGCTCTACTGTAGATTTCAAACTGGGGTTTTTAAAATGGAATTTCTTAGGCTCAGGCCTATGGCCATCCTCACAGTGTGCTGTTGGTAGAGCACCTAAAATCTACTCTTGTGGCCTGGGATCCATGCTGACCTTATAGGGACATTTAGAGTGTTTAAGACCCATAAGAATAAACTAAGATAGCAGGAAAGCCATGATTAAAAGCTGATGAGGTTACATAATGACTCCAGAGATTTTTCTTTCTCATCATAGAAGTATGCTTGGAATTCAGAATAAGTATGTTACAGTTATGTTAATTTGTTGAAAAGGGAAATTATGAGTTTTAGATAGCCTAAAAATTCCAAGTGGAACATTAAAGTAGATGTGTTAAATTTCTAGAAATGTGCTCCAACATTTTCACAGCAGACTTAATATTAACAGGAAGCAAGAACATACACATACACACACACACACACACACACACACACACACACACACACACGACTACTATATCTCCAGGGGTAGTGGGACTGAGAAAGAAAATCAGAAGTTTTAAAATTAGCTCAATTTTTACACGTCTCTGGCTTTGCATGTCTTATCCTCTCCAAGTT